TCGTCAAAAGTCGATCTGTCAAAAGACCATTTTTGTCACATAATCTTTTTCGTTTCCGAGAAGTTGTCAAATTTTTTGCTTCGCTTATTAACTGCTTCTATTCGCGGAAAGCGACGGAGTTCCGAATTTTAGTTGGCTCGCGCGTGGGATGATATGGAGAAGCCGGTAACATGAACGAAAAGACCTCTTTTATAACCAATCGCGTCAAAAGTGGCGCGTGACATGCATATCGCGGAGCATTTTGCGAATAAGCCCAGTAAATCAGGGGTTGCATTCTCTGAAGTGAAGTAGTGGAATAAATTGATGAAAAAGAGACGACTATTCTATTACCTCGGACTAAATTCTGGAAGCGGAACAAATTGCAAGCAGCAATAAAAATGGCATAGATTTATATCGATTTGTGTCCGCACTTCCCAGCAGAATTTATAATGCTATTTGGTCTCAGTCTTCCCGCTTCGAGGAAGTTTATAAATTCTTGTATAAATTATCATACACGCGCGGTTTCATTTCGCCGTAACATCGAGCAAGTAGAAACAGACGACATTGGTCAGACCGAGCAGTCGATATGCGCGTACGTCGTGACTTACGAAGAAAGAATGCCGGTTAGACGCGAGCGAGTATTAGCTGCGATAATACGATTAACCTAACTGCAGGCAGCACGTGAAATTCGGCTAAGCGGCTAACTACTTCACTCTAAATTAATAAAATTGTTCCGTGCACTGTAGAATATCACTCATTCTTTCCGCGGAATGTTATTGCAATGAAAAAATATCGACAGCACATTTTTCTCGTTGCGGATTATATTTTCGGGAAATGTTATCCGTGAGTGCATATCGGACAATATTTTTTCGCGATAGAATCGCGAATACCAGCGGCGTAAGCTTTGTACGCGCGTATTGATCTTTGTGTTAGAATTCGCAGATTTGGCTGTCATAAAACTACGAAATATTCTTCTCTCAGTAGCTCTCGTAATTGCTCATTCAGTGTCAATGAAGCGTTCAATCGGATATAAGTGAATTTACCGGCGAAACGACGTTACGCAGGATGCGAGTAATCGTTTGTAAAAAGAGCCAATGTAGAGGGAATACGAATGAGTCCTTCATGCCCGTAAAAGAACGCGTCTGTAACGTGGCGCACATTGGATGTGGCATCGGTGAATTGGAAAACGCTTTGTCACTCGTCATTGCGTTCCATCCGGGTGTATCCCGTCTGTGTATTTGCGATTCTTTCGCGAAGAAGTTCCGTCCCATTTGCAGTTTGCGGATAACATTTCTCGAAAAAATAATTCCGAGAAAAATAGTCTACCTCCGATACTTCTTTCATCGCGAGAAGCATTTCAGCGAGAGTCGACGATGTTTTATGTGAGAAAATACGAGGAAATTAAAGAAAAATCTGGAATTAAATGATTTCACGTATTTTTCTCTGAAATAACTTTGAGAATATATAGTTCCGAGACATACCCGAGATATTTCTTGGCGGAATTTCGCGGCGCAGTCGCCCACCGAGGACTAAATTTTCCGGAAGCTCTTTCTTTGTCAATAAAGTAGCTTTAAATGTGGAAACTCTGCCGCGTGAAGAGAATAAACGGGAAGGGGGGGAGAGAGAGAGAGAGAGAGGGGGGAAAGAAAGGGAGAGAGGGAACACGAAAGCGTCCGTTGAAGAGACAAGTGGACGATGCGGGACGGGCAATTGAATTTCTCCACAACCAAGCTAGATTTCGTACAAGAGACGGCAAGAATTTACATTGCTTCACTTCGCTTATTCAAGGAGTCCTTGTAATTCGACGAAACATCTGGATATTGCCCTCGACAATCTTCCTAGTGCCTTTTCCATTCTCAGAGAAAGTCGATTGATAACTCGTTGCCTGAAATAAATCTGATGTCAGAATAAAAAAAAAGAAAACTGACAATAGAAAGAAAAATACTCGTATCGATAAATTGGTCCGCTCGTAAAAGCCAATAAATTGTATTTCTCGTGGCAACACAGTGAAGTCTTGTGAAAGAAAAGATAACCTTTCGATACGTTTCTTTCTCACTTGTTTTAATTACACGTCAGTTGGATTACACGTTCATGAGAACTTTTCTCGCAGGAATGCAGACGAATTTCGGGTTGACTATTTACCGAGAAAGTTAGTGCTCGGTATCTGAATGATGTGCACGACAGAGTAAGAATTTTCCTTGTAGAATAATCCGGCGGTGTAGTTTCCTAGGAATTCAATTTAGTCTCCGGCCAAGGACTACGTGGGTTAACGCGCATCGAATAGGTGGAGGGTTTTAATGAAACATGACTGTGATTACCAGCAACACTTTCGTGCGTGTAGGCGAAAATTATCGCGCGATCTTACGCGCAAAAGTTAATCGCAAATAGCCAAGTAATTAAGTGTTCAATTTCGTTACCGTCAATGTCACATAGATGAATATTCGTGTTGCGCGAATTAATTCCCCGAAACGCACCACGTAGGAGTAAATTAACAACGAGACATATTACTATTAATTTTGTTCCAATAATAACGCACAGAGCCATTTATCACACATATAGTGGATTTAAATTTTAATTGATTATTACAAATGTAATTGAACAGAGATTGATTTTGTCAAAGGATACATAATTGAATCAAAATGTGCACGAATATGACAAGTTAAATTACTTTACCTTGTTTACGTAGCAATGTCACCGAATATGCAAACATGGGAGCAAAACTATAGTTTGAAATGAACCTACAAAGTGCAGCAGGTGTTGGCGTTCACAGCATAGTTGCGCGAGTCAGAGAAAGAGACAAATGCATGTCGAAGTAATTTGCTACTTCTGCTGTTTTTCCCTCAAATCTTAATTGAGTTACACGCAAAATATAAATCTTTTTACTTTAAAATGTCCTGCGCAAGGAACTTTATGGAACTTTTCTCGAGTATAAGTATCTCCATGCCTGACAAGTTTATATTTCACTCGCGATACAAGTCCAGCATAACCCGAGTTGCAGGCATTTCAAGCGCTCTTATGAAATTTATTCGACACTTAGGTGTAGTTACCAAGCGAAGCTTTATTGGAACTCCAAGATTGCGCGGCGCGAAAGAGATTTCAAGTGACAAAATTATCCGGCAGAATTTAGCGTCCACGTTACGCCGCGAAATGCGCGGCACAGGTGTCACACAATGGCTGGCCATGGACATACATTATAATTGTAGCTATCATGTCCAGAGCTTGACGTCATACGCTCCAGCGAAATTAGTGATTAGAGACGCTTCAAGCATCGTTAATTTGCTGCTCCAATAACGTTAATTGCGACATTTCGTGACAGGACTGCTTTACATTTCTTATTTGCGTCGGCATTGCTCACTCGTGATATGTCATTTATAACATATTATGCAATTATTATCCGCCAATTTTCGTACGTCATGTTTTCCCCATTCAACGTCAGGACATAAATTGCCGGCGAAAAGTACGTCTATGTGCGCAACACACACACACATCGACGCTTTCGTGTTCGGACATTATCAAACGCCCACCAACCCAGCAGATGTAATCGCAGTTAATGTCAACGACATCTGACCGAAATTTACAAACCGTTACAGTGCTTAGCGCGGGATCATAACAGCACCAAGGAGTTGCTGGTTAGGATTGGCATAAATTGTGAATCCACATGAGTTGATATAAAAACGAAACGCCCTTCCAGTGATCTATAAAGCGTTTACGACGTAAATTCCACTCGCGAGATTAGCGCGATCGATAAAGTAAAGATTGAAACGACAGTCGTAAACTTCTTCGGATTCTATTAACGCTCACTGTTGAGAAGTAAGACTTTTGCGGTGAAACGAAGTCCTCGTCGCCGCGGAGTCTACCCAAGCACCGACGATGATCGATACACGTTACGACGCGCGAAGTCCTCGTGACGTTAAATGTCGAGCGCTTTTAGCACTTGGCAAACGACGATATCTCCTTCGCTTCCGGGCATTTTCCCCGAGAACCACTTTGTAATATATCCGCGATCGTAAACGGCATGTCGCGCGGCCGCGGTGAGATTTAATTCATGCCTGACATCGGGACGATCATTTAATTACGAGGCGCAGCTGCTCGACATTTCGCGTATTATGTACGGATTAATTCCTGTCTATGTGAGATCGCGTTCAAATTTCCATGACACTCCCTCTGCCTCTCTCTCTCTCTCTCTCTCTTTTTCTTCCTTTTTCTGATAACGCCGTTAGCTCGTGACGTTTCCCTAAAAAATTACCGCCAGGACGTGACAGTTGCTGCGTGAGATGCGCGTGACTTGGTTCCGCAATGTTCAATTAAAACAGGCTTCAGCGGATTGTACAAACGCGGAGTTGCCTTGAGCGATGAAATAATGTCGATTGAAATGAAGTGGAATGTTGGAAACATCGAGCACGGTGTTCAACTCTCGTAACAAATTGTGGTATGTACAAATGCTCGTTATCGAATTGCTTTTTCGAGCTACCCTCGCTAACCTTCGCTCTTCGAGCGACGCCGATATTTCCGTAACGTGAAATTCGACCCTACGCAGATAAAATAGTTTGTGAAAACTATTAATCGTCGAGCAGCGGTGCAGTAACGTAAAAACCGCGAACGTTAACTCGATACTTTTTGCGAAGTTACACGGCGCGGCGAAAATATGTACGGCTAAAAGTGCATGAGCGATAACGCTCCGCCAACGGGAAGACGAATAACCCCGAGAGTACCGTCGCTCTCGAGATATCGAGCGCGAAATAAAAGGGCACACCGAGCCCTCTTGCATTTTATCGTATTCCTTTTTCGAGGCCGAGCTCGATTTTCGATCAAGCTCTCCGACCGGAGATATTACTTACGCGATATTCCGCGAGCACACTCGTGCGTGACATTAAGCGCAGGCTTCGTCGCTCTTGGCGAGCGTGTCTATTAGACCCACGTGGAAATCACGTAAAGATAATCCCGCACTTTCACGCTATCTCCCGACATGGCTGTGCGAAGAGGAAGCGCCGGACCGTGATATATTCCCCATGGCGTTTTAGGTGACGTGCCAAGATGAAGAGAGCAGTCATTGCATGCCAAAGAAGACTTTCCTGACGATACTGCGCTTACCGGAGGTCAGCTCGAATCTAGCGGCCTACTCAAGGACAGCGAGGATCATCCAGAAAACGAAGAACCGCGACGATATGGTTCAGTTGAAAGCTCTCAGCTCGGAGGAGAGCGACGACGCTGAGATCTGTATTCCCACCGGGATTTATTTGGAACTCTTGAGGGACCCGGCTTTGCGAGGACACCTGAGCGTGATGGCCCGTACTCACAAGTTACCCGAATTTCCGGGACGCCTTTTGGATGACAGCGAGGAGATCGAGTCGAGCGACCTGATCCCCGAACTGGAAAAACGTAGCCTCGCCACACTGGCCAAGAACGATGACTTGCCTATCACTATACAAGAACGCCAGGACGATGATGACAATGAAAAACGGAATACTCATTTTGGGTATGTATTTGTGGAAATACGTGACACGCGACACTTGAGAATCTTTTTCATTTTTTTCTTGTCGTTTTTTTCATATCTGTCGATCAAACGTCTACAATCCTAATTAGACATACTGAGAGAAAAATAATTAAAAATTTAGTTCTGTGAAATTAAGTCTATTTCTGGGAAAATAAGATTTTTTATTTCTGCGAATAAACTTTATGTACCACAAATAAATTTTCAAGTATTCTTTTCTCAGTGTACAGTAAAGTACAGTAAGTAAATAAGTAAATGTTGTTGGACAATTTATTTCTTCGCGACTGATCTTTATTAGCCTTCTCTTTCTCTCATCTCACTTTTATGGAATGAATAAATAAGTGAAGAATGATCTGTTAACTTTATTCTTACGAAATGATATTTAAATCGATCTAATCAGCGACAACCTGGACGGTCTGATAAGCACACTACTAGCCGATGAATACCGTCGACGAGCACCCGAGATCTACGACTTGCTGTCCGAGTTAGATCCGGAAGCAGGCGAGTACGTGCTCGACAAACGCAATGTGGGCTCTTTGGCGCGGGACTTCGCTTTGCCCACAGGTAGACGTCACATCGCCTCGGTAGCACGCGATTACGGCTTACCGAGCGGCAAGAGAAACATCGGTGCTTTGGCCAGGCAGAGTATGGTGCCATTGAACGGTAAGAGAAATGTCGCCTCTCTGGCGCGGTATTACATGTTGCCGCAGGCCGGCAAGAGGAACGTGGCCGCGTTGGCCAGGGACTCGTCTTTGCCTTACGGCAAGCGTTACCTCGGTTCGCTGGCTCGAAGCGGCGGCTACCCCGTTCACGGATACGACGACGGCAAGAGAAGCATCGCCTCCTTGGCTAGGAACGCCGACTGGCCGGCTTTCGCGAAACGAGGTGGCTCGGCGCCAGGAAGAATGATCGCCACGATGCGAGTGCTCAATCGCCATGGAAGATCCTTGAATGACGACCGCGAGGCACGCAATAACGAACCCTTGGACCTCCAGCGACTCATCAATCATGGACACAACGGCGACGAAGTGAAGGAGAAGCCGGTCGAGTGGCAGACCACTCCCTTCAGCGTCTTGGACGAGCTGGAAGACACCAAAGCAAAGAACAGGTCCAACAGAAAAATGGACGTCGCATCGCAAACAAGACACAAAAGGCAGATCGACTTCTCCGACGAGTATCCGTTGCCCGTTGTGCAGAACGCCAACGTATTCGACTACGAGGACATGATCGAGGCTCTCGCTGATCACTACCCGAATGCGGAGAAGAGGTTCATGGGTGAGTAGCGATTTGATTCTAGCGTCTAATATTTCGCTTGTAACAATCGGTTGAGATGAATTTTTTAGAGAGATGAGGTCTCGTGAACTTCGATTTCTATCTAGAGTCTTTAATAGAGTGTGCGAGGTGCCCAATATTTTCGTCCTTTTCCTTGAACGAAGAGGGGCTCGGTAAATCGATACTTGACGTCTCTGATTGACTCTCGCCACCGGCGAGAGCCGTACTTAATTATTATGGATTTTCGTTGTGCGTTTAGCAGCCCCCGACACATCTCCCGAAACGTTTCAAAGCGTGTTGTGAACTGTGACTCTGTCGGGAACAGGTTCCGCGCCGGAGGTGCCGGTCGACTCGGGCTACCCTGAAGTTTTGCGAACGAGTAAGAGGCATATCGGGGCCCTCGCGCGCCTCGGCTGGCTCCCGTCGTTCCGTGCACCACGATTCTCTCGGTCACCGCGATATCTGGTCGAAAGGTCAGACCATTAGGCAACGCTCTGCGTATTCTCCGCCGTGTCCTCTTCTCCTACTTCGATGTGATGTCACCGTTTGTCGTACCTGTATCAAGTAGAGCTCTACCTACTGACTAAGAAAATATCATATGTGTATGTCAGCATCAACAGATCTATAAGCCACGTCACGTCACGTCACGTCACGTCACGTCAAAGATAACTCACCAAATATCAGCCAACTACTTATCACCATCTACAATTACCACGTACAAAACAAAACGTCCTTCAATTGTGTCTTCTACTACCGCTACTACTACTTCTACTACTACCACTACTACTACTACTACTACCACCACGATATCCCAGGACTCGTTACGGTAGTTAGGTGTACAATGTCTCGATGTAGTGTCTCACTGTTTAGAGATTAGAGGCTCAATGTTAGATCGCTGGTAGATCGATGTTAGACGATTAGACGAATTAGTGATTAATAGAATTAGAGCGATGTTTCTTTCACAGAATTTCCTCCAGTGGCTCTCAACGTTACGATCGAGCGTATTTTCAGGGAATGTGAAGGATGAACGATAACACGATCATCTCCACATTTCCATCTGTGCGCTTTTTAACGAGTTACCTTGAGAACCATTCACGTCACATTTCATAGCATTTCTTTAGATACACGCGCAAGTGCAGTGTTACATTTGAATGGTTTTATTAAAGGTCCGTGACGTCGCATAATTCTTCGGAGAAGTGACGTCATGTAATCGATAGGCAGGATTGAAAGCCATTATCAAACACCACTATGTTTCCTTGGTGTTGGATGTTCGATATTTTAAGTGTTTTTGTGTGTCATCGGACGTTTTAGCGAGGACGATTAAGCTGGACTTATCGAAAAGAAGAGACCAACCAATTGGATAATTACTTCAACTTATTACTTATCATATTTCCTTGTAATTTTCAATTATTCAGACATTTGTCGTAACGCAAATCAGTGTTTCACGTATTTTTTTAGGAAGACTCAAATTTAAATTGGTGTCCCTTTAAAAAATGACCTAGATGTTTTGCATAAACAACGTACGTAAAAAGTAACCATGCACAAGGAGCGGTGCACAATGAACTTCCATCGCTACTTCCTCCGCAATGATAAATGTTGTACACTGTCAGCACCGCGTGCTATCAATTAGTTACATGTTTAGAATAAAGTTGGAGTCCAATATGTGGTGTCGTGAAAGAGATGGTGTTCCGTGATATAACGAAGGCACGTATGATGAATTTTCAGGGAGAATCCCGCAGATGGGTCCACGTCCCACTACACCCCCGACACGTCGACACGGTCGCTAAGACCGTTATTCACCCCGAAAACTCGCTACTTGCAGTCCCTGCACGGAGATTGTCGACACGGCTTCAAGAGGTTCCTGCTGTTACCGGACGTTGATGACCTTCTTCGGCCGCATTCCCGCATCGCGCCCCGTTCCATGTAAAGTTCTCGTTTCACTGTTCATCCAGGTGACACCGCCGTTTAAATATATATCATGCCGGGGTCACGCGTGTACCTAGCGAATTGAGAGGACGAGGGGAAAGCAAGCACGTACGAATTAAACGAATGTAAATACTCGGATCCTGAGACCGACGTTTTTCCTTGCTCATTATCGACGGTAGATATCGAATTTGCCGGATATGTGGATTACAATCAAATGCTCGAGTATACAGTCGAAAAAGAGGTGTAAGATGGATTTTGTCGGTTCCACGGATTATCAGACGAATTCAAAGAGCACGAGCGTAATGTGGAAGTAAGGAAGCACGTCGTATACTTCAGCGAACAATCCTTACGTTCGCAGAGGATTGGTCTTCTCGCAGGATCCGTCGATGGACAATAAACTTATATTTCGCTGACAATAATCTTACGTAATCCTAATGTAAAGCCTTAAATGTGCCGTCTGTATCAAGCAGAGAGCGATTTCAATTCTCATACGGCGTTATGTCTGAAACAAACTTTAATTCGTGGAACAGATTTTTCTCGTTCGAGAAGCTCGTCACTATGGTTCAGTTTTCTCGAATCTGTGTTATATAAGGAACTCCGCCGTCGATTGTTGCTTCAAATGGGTTTCTCCAAATGTACGTTCCCCCAATATTTATATCTTAATATTTCTCTTAATGTCAATGTGCAGAAAACGTTATTCCCGTGCCACGAGAACCTCGTGTGAAGTCGATGAAGCTAAGAAATAATCTCCGTCAGTAGAGATGGGCGACGAAACGATATTTATTTTTAACGTTTTCTTTCTATTTTTAGGTTCAATCATTTTTTATGTTGTCGGGAGGGACAGAGAGAGTCTCTTCTTTAATTCGAACAATAAAACGACATTTGTTTCTTTGTATCTTTTTTTTATTTTCAGACTCAGTTATTCATCATGTTGTCGGGACAAGTTTCTCTTTTATAATTCGATACTATTAAATTCGATATGCACATTAAAATCGATATGCACATCAAAAGTGATATGTTTTATTATTCGGTACTATTAAATTAATTTATCACAAAAGATTTTGAAATTAATAGAAATAGCGGGTCTAGCATGAGGGTTCCATAACGGGTCTAACGAAACAAGCTTCCGTAAGAATCACGAGATGGCACTAGAGGCAGCCATTTGCCAATTTCTATGGTCCAGTATTTAGCTTAGTTTCGGTTAGACCCTTTACGGCTAAACCCGTTATTTTTATTATTAGTACCAAAGTCTCCGCTACGAGCCGCTACTATCCTGAACGAAGAATCGAGCGCATAATTCAACTCAACGACAGACATATCTTTTATTAAGCAAGTAGTACGAGTCAATGGGAAGTTGAACATGTTTTTTTTATTGAAATATAATTGAAATTTTATAGATTAAATTTTGGCAAAAATGACAATATTGAGATAGTTCAAGAAGCATTTTACAGTTTGAAATTGTTAATTTTCAGTTATGAGATCGTACCAGTTGCTATAGCTTTTTGCAAAGATATATCGAGTTAAATGACAACTGTTGAAGTTGGTTTAATTCTCAATTCACATTTTTTAGTTGTTTTTATATTGAAAACATATTTGTATTAAAAATACCATAAACACATATAAAAGAAGAAACTCTAAGCTTCGCATTCATTATTTAACAAATATCGCACACTGATTCGGTTTTCTAATAATAAGCGACCGAAAGGACATCTTTTAATTTATCGTTGAATAATTCAGCGAGAAGGAATTACATCCGAATGTCTGCAAACAATTGCGAAATTATTGTAGCACTGTAAGAAACAAATGAACTTCATACATGAAAATATATATAATAAATAGAGACTTCCAACTATAAAATTCCTCTCGAATCACTTCATCTCATCTCATTATTTTTATTTCTGCCGAAGATGTAACTTATTTAATTTTTTAAATTTTAATTTTAATTCTTTCATCGGGGGGCAATTTCGCGTAAAAATATATGTTTAGACAATATTAATAATAATTATTAGAAACAAAGAAATTATGAAAATATCAAAGAGATTAAGAGCTGTTATATGTTTTCAGGATATAAGCACAATTATCAGAAATTGGCTCATTATTTTCAATATCGCCCATCCCTATCCGTCAGTGTAGTAATATATATGGTGTAAATGCGAAATTAGTGCTCAGAGCTTACAAGCTCGATATAGTAATAATGCCAATTTGTTTCCATCTTAGTCTCCATTGTATCTGGTTTGAATATATTGTTAGAAAGGTCGTTGTGTAATATGTATGCAATCGAAATACGCTCGATGTCGCGACATCATCGGTCTATCGTTGCTGTGGATGACATATAAATCTATCGACTCTCTTTAACTTTACAATTTAAAATACTATATGTTTGTCTAGACAATAATAGATAACCAAAGTGACAATAAAGCGATAATAATATTGACATAATAAACTCGAATTTTAATCCACGCACATTACTCGCATTGCGTTTTATTAATCCCGATTAACGAGAGAATCGTCATTCAGAATTTCCTCCTTGGTGATTTATATCTATAATTCGCGATGTTAGTAAAAGGAAGGAAAACATAAAATCGATATGCACATCAAAAGTGACATGTTTTATTATGCATCACTTCTATTATATTCTATATTTGTTATTTTATATTATAAGACTTTACAAGCGTACGCTGCTGTGCGTCATTGATAGTCGGAAATCAGTGCGAAATAAAATAATACACAATTTAGTCGAATTACAAAAGTTCTATACTGTAATATATATAAATAATTACTTAATATCATCAAATCTTTATAAAAAGAAGAATAGTAAAAGATACTGTTTGCAGGATACTTTAATGCGAAATGTTTTCAGTTATTGACTGTGTGTATATTACAGTAAACTGTATGTGTTACTTGAACGAGTTAGCTTGTCCTATAATTATGCGTATCATCCAGTTAAAAATATGTTTAACAAAATTCTCACGTTGCTTGATTTCAGGATTTTCATCATTATTATCATTATTATCATTATTATCATTATTATCATTATTATCATTATTATCATTATTGTCGTTATCTGCCTTGACCAAATTTCCATCAATATCATCATTGCCATCGTACTCAATGTTGTTATTGTTGTCATTTGAATTGTTATTTACCAGAATTGATAGTACAATATTGGCATCGGAATTATTATTATTTTGTTGATTTGGGTGTTCATTTAATGTGCTTCGACGTACATTTTTAGATTTAGAATTTTTAGATTGTCGATTCCCTTTGTCACTGGAATTGGAATTTTTAACATTATTAACGACTGTAGTAGGCGTTTCGGTAGTAGTTTCGGTAGCAGTTTCGGTAATTTTAGTAGTTTCGGTAGTTTCGATAATTTTGGTAGTTTCGATAGTTTCGATAGTTTGATTCAAGGTCTTCTCAAAATCGCCATTATCATTACCGTTATCGGACCAGTCGTTCAGTTCTATTTCATTCTTTCTCGGTGTGCACCATATTTCAGGAGTGTCTTTTACGCAAGGAGCGTTTAATACACAACGTTTCTCATTCTCATCGTATGCTTGGTCGCAACCGCAGGACATTTCTACCTGCTGATATCTGTAAGGTGCCACTTCAGCACACAAGACGTACTTGCCGCAGTTGCCAGAATCTGGTGGTTGGGTGCTGGCTGATCTGCAGTATCTTTCGCATTTCTGTGTGAATAAATTGTATCTCTCGTGTTCTTGGCATCGTCCAGTGATGTATGCTTTGCCGGAGAAACATCTGCCATAAATACGATTGTCTAGTGGATATACAATTGGCTGACCATCTTGGCCAGTGCATCTGAATAGCACACAATCTTTAATATAACGTTGGTACGTGCACTCGCCTTTTCGATGGTCATAGATATTTTTTGCCGGACAAATGTTGGTTCTGCGAACACCTTTTACGCATCTGTGATAACGTCTGCAACTCGATGGGTCAGGATACACGCCGTCTATCATAGGACAGGTGAATTCCGAGCTGAGCTCGCAACGAGGTGGCGGTTCCTAGTAGAATTACAAAATACAGTCACGATATTTGAAATGTGCAATAAGGGTTTTTAACATGTTAATTGCTATGTAGATTACTGATATGATTGCTAAATATCCAGATTTAAACTGGAAAGTTCAGTTGTCAATTAATTTAATAATTTCACGAAGTTTATGTTATTTAAAAATAATTGATTTTTTATGACGCGCGAGTAATATTGATATATGTTATTTAGAATTGCCAGATTGGACAGCTTTCAACTACACAGTCCAGCTCAAATCTGAACACTTAGCAATCTTAGTTGTATGTAATTTAGTTATTTAAAAATAATTTATTTTTTTCACAACGTAAGAGCAATATTGATGTAAATCATTTCGAGTTGTTAAGATACACAGATTTAGAGTTGTCAGATTTCAGTTAAACTAGTCATCAGTGACTAAATTAGTAAACACGTGATATCTAATTATCTCTTGTCATCATAATATCTTATTCTATTCATTTACTTAAAACAGAATGCCAATTGCATATAACAAATTTAATGTATAATTTAATCAATATAGAGACAATGATACGAACTAACAATATTATATGGACTTTTGAATTGCAATTATATTTTTGATAGTTCAATTTTATACAAAGATAATATTATAGTTTTTTTTCTAATCAATAAATTTGTTCTGTAAATTCTAATCAAGTTTACTATGTTTTTAGTAATTCACAGGAATCAGCAAGGTTTATCTTGCTAAGGAACATAGTAAATTTTGCTAGAAATATAGCAGAGCTTGCTAAAAAAAATAGCAAGTGTTCTAATGGTATATTTCAGTTTCTAAAATATAAGTAGCATGTATGAAAGGATAGTGAATTGCTGCAGATCTATTCCTGTCGATTTATTCCTCAGTTGCAAAATCCTATAACTTATAAAATTTTTACTATAACATTCTCTCCATATAATTACACGGATAATATATTTTATTAATTAAAATTATCAATGAAAATCAATATGACAGAGTCATTGTGACTTGAAAGAGATATGAGTAATGTATCTTGATTTATAATAAATGAGAGGATATACAATTTTAAAATTTATTACGTGCGATCGATACCTCGGAACATATTCCACGATTGCAGTAGCTCTCCTTTGTAGTTTGGTCGCAAGTTATAAGAGCATATTGCACCCATCTATCGTCTAACCGTATACACCATTTTCCTTCGTCGCACTTGTTTTCGACGCACATAAATTCCGAGTCGCATTCGATAGTCTCATTGTAAGCTATGGTAATCTTGCCCGCGAAAGGAATCAATGATTGACTTGATGTCACATCGCAGCCAAAGACGAACACCTGTGAAAGCGTGGTTATGATCGTCTGGACGACAACGTAGTTGCACGACACAATCACTTACCAGAAAGACCGCGAATTTTGCGTACGAAAGTCTAGCCATTTTCGCATCAACTCGAGATTTCGGTGCAGCTATTTTCTCTTATATCTAGTTGGTTTCTTAAAAATCTACGTGATGCATAGAGCAGGGATCGTGAGATAAATGCGTCATATCATACGAGTCATAAATATGCACTCGAGATAACATTTACGATTCCTGAGAATGAAGCTATTAATTCTCAACAAATCCATTTGATAACGCTTTCCGAGAAGAATTCCTTGAATATCAGCTAAAAAATATACATCTAACAATGCCACGAGAGAGAGAAAGAGATTTGAATTCGTGCAAAAACATTTGAAACAGGAGTGAAAAGAAGCGTCAGCCGATGTAAACAAAATACAACGGGGACAAGTAGCGCGCGCACGACTATTTTGACAACTTCACATGCTTCCGGAATGTTACGAGCGTTATGAGAGCGATGTCTGTTGTGATTTCGCGGTCGCCTAGTGTCCGCGTCATTGATTGGAGGGCGACGACGCGTGGCGACTGGCGGAAGATGATCGCGCCTTTTCGGTCGATTGTTTTGATACTCACATGTCGCGACTACTATTCCGTGATCCTCGGTCACTACGTTTCGCGCCGCTGAGAGACGCGCGTACTGCGAAGGATCGGTGTGTTGATTGCTATTTCGAGTCGGATTCTAAGACATTTCGTGGAGTTTCTCATCGGCATCGCGCTCATTATCGTAAGCATCTTTGATCGAATCGTGTCTACGCGAACGTCATGGTAGGTGTTAGTGCCAGTGTCACGACGAAGTAGTTGGCAAGCAAGGTACTGGACCGAGGAACCATGGTGCAGGCCGCGCGAAGAACGCTGGGACTCGATGCATCGTGTATTTTCAGGTACGTTTAATTCCTTATAATATAGAACGTCGATAGAACTTTAAAAGACGTTCGACGAATTTACTGAAATCGAGGAGAGTCGAGTCGAAATTAGGTCATTAGTTCATTTGATTAGTGAATAGTTTTATGAGTTTCCGATTGTGTGTCGATCTATATGTGTGTGATGTGTGTGTATCTGTACTACACACTTCATATACCAAGAAGTATCGATTCAAACAGTCATCTAGCGGTCCGTGAATACGCGAATCTGTAATTAATTATGCTATCAATCAAAGATCGTAAATAACTATTTACTATTACATTCGATACTTTTGGTCAGATAAAACATTTAGTTGACTGTTGGCTGAAGTTTTTATTAGTCTTTATTTCGTTCATATATACAATGGAAACATTATTCATTGAATAAATAACCGTCATAAAATTATCATTTTTATGAGAATACGCATTACTTAGACAGTATTTTTGTCTATATTATATGTGATATAAGTTATTTAAAATTGTACTCTGTATTTTTGACTGACCGAATATAATTTCTCGTATCTAATGAGTATGCTTTGTTTACTGGTGATTTTTGTTTGGAGACGTATTTTGCGTTGAATGTAGACTCGATAATATCTTGTATAATTTCTCGTATTAGATAAAATTTCTCGTATTAGATAAAAACAGAGTTAACTATTGTTAACTCGCTGTAATATTTCAGTCTGTCGCAGGTGACACGTCACATATGTCAAGTATAAATGTTATCGTAATTTGTTTTTAAATACTGCAAATTTGCATAAATCTTACGCATTTATAACTGTTTCTAAACAAGTTACGACATAGGAGGCAATAATGTTGACTAATTGAACAAACAGCCTTACGTCATAACCTCTACCGTGCTTAGTCTTGTGCAAAGAATGATAATAGAGTCTATTGTAAATTTTGCGGTAAGCTATTGAGCTTTTTCAACGAGCATAAGTCTTCCATAGCTGATTAATGACGAAATGCATTCGTTTCGGCGTTTAAAAATTAAACTACGTGGATTATTGTGTAACTTTTCATAATACAATTGATATTCAACAAGAGAGAAATACGAATGTTTAAATGCGTTTCAAGCTTCTTGAAATTTAATCTCAGATAAAAAGATTAAATAATTCTCTTACGAAGAGAAAAAAGAAAATAAAAAAAATCGTTTTATGTAATGTAAAAATTTTCTTTAATTATCAAGTAATTCGATATTTCGACGTTAGATGAGGGGAAAGAAAATGAATGTTACAAAGGGATATCAAATTATCGATAATGTATTATAAATATTCATTTAATAGTGAGATGGCATAATATATTATAAGATCGAGATATACATATATGCATATATATACATATATAAATAACTATTTCTCTGGCTTGCGTGTTTTATAACTAATCTTTATACAACAATTGATCGGCTAAAATATTCCACCCATGGTGCGATGATAATTAAGCTGCGCGTGCGGGGTGTAATCGTAGCCTTGATCGTACCAGTCCGGCGTTGTCGCGGTGTTCGAGGTACTCGAGGACGGAGTATTTTGACTCGTATGCGAACCGTGCTGATGAGTCGCGTGACTCGATCCGTAATCGCCGCTTTGAAAATGATTAAACTGCCCCCAACCAAGCTGCGTTCTCGACCAATCGGTATTGCCTGAAAATAAGTGCATTAAATAACGAGATGTCAAGCTTTTTTCTAGACGCGCGTGCTCGTTCCATTCGCGATGGGACACGTTTCAAATAAAAGCGCAAGAGAGCAACTCAAGCTTCGATCGATCGATCGAGATAGACGAGGTACTGCGAGGTGTATATCTGAAAATAGCGGGCGTTAAATAGCGGGATATCAAATTTCAATAAAGCGCCCCGTCGTTGACGTGCATTTTGAATAAAGGAACGAGGGAGAGCGCGATATTCGAGGTTACACTCGAATCGATCGGCCGATAGACGAAGAATGTAATCGACACCCACCGCTGTTGTGCGAAAGCGACGTGGGTGCACCGTGCGCGGCGGGTGGCTGCATCGTCGACACTTGCGCAAGCTGCATCGTGGCCGTGTGCGCCGGAAGCGAGCCAAGATGCCCGGGGATGGTAACCGCGGATCCCTGAAGTGCGCCGCTCATCGTGGTAGGCACTTGGGCCATCTGGGCGACGGAGCCGGACACTTGGTGCATGCCGCCGGGTGCCTGGTGCAGGGTCGTGGGTACCTGCGCTATTCCGCCGGGCATCTGCGATACTTGCGGTATCTGCGCGAGATCCTGATGACTAGCTGCCGCGTATTGGCAGGTTGTCAGTGGCAGGCTACTTATCGGCGAATGAGTTATGCTACCGGCGTGTTTGCGGAGGCGCGCCCTGCGATTACTGAACCACACCTGAAACGGTGCGCGTTGCATTATATTTAGCAGAGCAGAGTTCTGCGACGACCGTCGTTCAGCGGAAATCCCGACAGAAGACGCTGTGTTCTCGTGTCTGTCTCTCTTTCAAATCTTCCCGAGCATGCGTTGCTAAAGTAATCGGTAGGATTTCAGCAGGGTTGGGAAGTAACTCGTACTACTTATAACAAAATTGCAGTTATATTTTTTTGGTAACTGTAACTTAACTTAGTTATTTATTTTTAGTAACTTGTAACTTTTTAAACAGTTACTTTAATAGTTACTTAGGGAACGTAAAATAAAATTAAAATTATATAGTAATCGTATATTAATTTAATAACCCAAATAGCACAGAGAATTCAAAAAGAATTAAAAAATAATTCAGTTGTATGTCACCAATTCTGAGTTCATTTGCAAAAGGAATTCTTCAGAGTTTAGTTCAATGAAAAGAATTCTTTTTGCATTTAAAAATAAATCAGAATTGGTGACATACGACTGAATTCTTTTTAAATTCTCTGTGCTATTTGGGAAATTTATCAACGTATTTATGGAACATGTGATTAAATTCTTTTACTTCTACAAGGCTATCATTAAATTTTTATTATATTAAGTACAGATTTGAAATTTGTTAAGTGAATTGACTAATTAATATGATAGATATTAATTATAAAATTCAATTCTTACATTTTAGTAAAGCTTAAAATGTAAGATTTTTGTATTTACAATAATAATTTACAATCATTTCAAGAAAGTAACTTAAAAGTAACGACTCGTTACTTTTAGATTAACTGTAACTGTAACGAGTTACTTTTCATAGCCAGTAACTTGTAACTGTAATTAGTTACATTTTCAGCAAAGGGAACTGTAACTGTAACTAGTTACTTTTAAAAAGTAACTTTCCCAACCCTGGATTTCAGTTGATGATGCTTTTATGGCGAATACAGAGTTAGCCGTGAGACACCGTATTCTTAAAATTCTCTCAAGTTAAGCCTCGGTCAAAACGAGTAAAAATTCAAGCGTTGGTGACAATATTTCCCAGACAACGCAATCTATTAAACGATGTCTTAAATACTTCCAAATAACATCTTATTTCTTTTAGATCTTTTTTGGACGTCTTTAAGACATCTTTTAGTAATTTATGTTTGTGTCTGGATTGCCACTCGGAATCGCAAGAGTGAATGTTTCGCTCAAGCTTAGAGTGATTTCTTATTTCATATAAGCGAATATTTCAATTGATTAAGGCTCCTTGTACGCCGCGGCCATGTTGAATTTGTGACGTCAAATGCAAAAAACGACACACTGACGAAAGTTGCATGCTATTTCTAAATAAAGATAACTGTCCGAAAGTTATCCCTTTCCTTTAACGATTAATAAATAGTTGTATAATAAATGGTAAAATGAGGCATGCAAAGAAAATACTTATTTCATCATTTCACTTTTCATGGCCGGCAAGATACAAGTAGCCTTAAAGTGAATTTATTTGTGCGACGGTGGAGTATTTCAGATTTATTCTTCAAATTTGAGTGAAAATATTCATTCGACAATTCAGAGCAGAGAAATTCGCTCTATATGAGTAAAAAATCTTGAGTTCGAGTGACTCAATATTAAAATCATCAAAAAAATTTAGTTGACGTAACTAATTTTACAAATTATTTGTTATTAGAACAGAAGTAGTTTTGTTGCCAAGATAGAAAAAATTTGTTGAGTGTATTTGTCCTAAAAATCACGTTAATTTGCTATTGATACAAAATAATGTATTTTTAGCAAATTTATTTGTTATCGGAACAAACCTGCAACTGCTTATATAAATCCATCATAGTTCTTATAGCAAAATAATTTGTAGATTTAGCAAATTATATCCAGAAAATAGTGATTAGTACTCTTAGTAAATCTTTTTGCTGTCCATATAATAACGAAAAGATTTTGCTGGACTAGCAGAAAATTTGCTAGGCCAGCAAATTATTTTTCTCCGTGTACAACATTTTCACCTCGATTAACTTTAGAACGTGTTCGGTATCCGATACGGAAATTTATCGTTCGAAGATTATTGAAAATAAATTTTTAAAAGAAACTTTGAATACGAATACGTTACGAAACTTGTCGACGTAAAAGTGTTGCAACCTCTCTTCCATCGATTATGTAGGAATATCGTCACGATCGACGCGAGAGATACGTTTTGTTAATGCCCGCTACTGAGATCGCGCAAAACTCACTTGAATTCTCGCCTCGGTCAGTCCGGTCCTCTGGGCCAACTCTTCTCTCGCGTAAACGTCCGGGTATTGGGCTCGGTGGAACGCAGCTTCCAGCTGTTCGAGCTGTTCACCGGAGAACGTCGTTCTGCTTCTGCGTTGCTTTCGCTTTAGTGGTATACCCGGCTCGCTTTCCGTGTCAGAATCGTCACCGCAGCGACCTGGAGTTTGATGGTTCTTATAATCAAAAAATTTGGGATAGCCGATCGATGTTACTTCGCGTTTTTGCTCTAATTTCCGCTACGTCTAATTTTGTCTAGCTCGTTTCCACCAACGTCGATTAAATCTGAGGTTGAATCTTTCCTTGAATAGAGTTTACGTTCAAATTAAGATTTAATCGACGTTGGTAGAAACGAGGGAATACAAGAATCTTTCATACAGATTTTTTAAACCGAGGTATAACCAATTCTTACGCGAAGATTTAATTAACGCCGTTTTAGTTCACTTAATAACGCATTCACATAAAAGATTTACAGTATTCAATGACAGTCGACGGGCGTTTTTTAACGTGTTATGTTAAAATTGTAATATATTGTACGAACGTTTGATTCAAATTCAAATTTCTTATGAGAGCTCTCAGACTCATGATGAATCAGTATTTTTGACAAACAAGTATTTCGTTTACATCACAGTTTTACCAACTGTTTCCTCATTCACGCGCAAACAAGATATTGTTGAACAAGTCCGAGCAAGCCGATCGCGGCAAAGTCAAACGCCTTTCACGAACGGTCGACTCGCGAACTTAAACGATGCGTGTCGATATTGATCTCTTCCTTGGGAAATTAATTAGTTCTTCTCGATACCTTCCCGCTTCACACGTCGATTTATCTCATTAAGCTTAACGTCCATCTCCTCCGAGATTTATTTCCCATAGAAGATCCCGTTTGATCGCCGATCAGCTGTTCGAGATTTAACTTGAAATCCTGTCGGAAGGATCCCGCGAGCCTCTTAATATCCTCGCATTCAGCACTTGATACCGAAAACATTTCTATGCAATACGCGCCCACCCAGTCCTCATCATTGATCTCTACTTGACCGAGAGAACGAGAAGCTCGCGCGTTCGTTTTCCTCCCGACGAAGAGAAAGAAGTATATGCATGGTGAAGGGAAGCCAGCGGTAGAGACTGACCGGGGCTACCCTCGCTAAATATTTGCCCCTAAGTCGACTCTCTGCCTCATTGTCCCACATCTGACCATTATCGTTCGATCGAGCGTTCTCGCGAGCTATTGTCCCGATTGAAGTCGAGCATCGTCGTGCTTTCTCAGCCATTCTTCCCCGACTGCGTCTCTTCCTCCTCAGAGCAGACTCCGGATCTGCTCGAAAATGGAATTTAATCTCGCGCTCGGGTTTATCGTTGGTCGAACGCACCCCAGGGACCACGGCGCGCGGAGATGAGTACGAATGGCTTGTTGTGACGTCCGATGATCCATCCTGGCACAACAAATGGGGATTAGCTCGCTCTTTTATTTGCCTACCTGTGCCAGCGCGCTATCGTCGATTCCGCGATGTGGAATTAAACGGCGACGACAGTAATACCATTTTTTACGTCGGTCGGCCAGTTGCGGCTGATTTTTCGCTCGCGATGCGCGTTTTTACGGGCCGCTATTATGTAACGCTTGATCGAACTGTCGGGATACTTCTCGGGTGTGTCGAAGCTGAACTCAGACAGGAAGAATGCTTACGGGTTATCATAGAATAAAACCTGCACGGAGAGAATATTGCAATTCTTTTTTCATATAAATTCTTTTCAATTTTACTATGTTTTTAGTAGGCCGCACAGGAGTAGAAATAAGGTCTATCTTGCTAAGAAATATAGTAAATTTCGCTAGAAACACAGCAAGTGTTTTAACAACGCATTTTAGTTTCTAAAATATGCGTAAATATGCGTAACATATGAAGTAAAAGGATAGAGTGAATTATTGTAGACTCTATTTCTCGGTTACAAAATCCCATAGTAATTTTTACTATAAAATTTACTCCAAAATTTATTTAATAGGCTGAACTTTACCACGTTCAATTTTCTTAAAGAGATCAATTAGATAACGCAAATGAGTTGGACTCTAACAGATTTCGTTTTGATATTAGTTTATAAAAAAGAGATCGGAATAGAGAGTCTTTGAATAAGCTGGATCGTTAGCAAAAAAAGTATTCATTTATCGGGAAAGTAGTAATGATTGTGCGAAACGTAATCGGAGAATGTAAAGATATTTCTGAAGAACCTGTGCTGTCTTCTTCAGTACAGTACAACCTGTTGGACGAATCTTTCCGTCGGACTACGGGAGTCTTCTCTTTTCGTGCGGTTTTCACGTTTCTAGGCGGGGAATGAAACTAGCAGTGTGACTTGCGACTTTCTTGAACATACGAGAATTCCCAGCGGCTGTCCTTTGAGTTTATTGTATGATCGTGCGGCGTTACATTTGTCAAAACGTGCCTTCTGTGCGCATGAAGGCAAGTATGCTGTCCATCGTTTTCTCAAACTGAGCGAGCGCCATGTAGTTAAGAGAAATAGGAACAGATAAGCGATGAAAGTTGTTTTCACATGTTCATCAATCTTGCACAATGATATTTGAATGATAATTTATGAAAGTTATTTTGTCGCTAAATGTAACATTTCTCAAATGAATCTTTTCACCTACACCGTACAAATCAGCAAATTTATCTCGCATAGTTTTCATCTTGAAACCAAGTTGGCAAAGTTTACTCTCTGGACTTCATGGAGTGAAATTTTATTCAAGTAGAATGACTACCGCGATTCATTCGATCTCAAATGCTTTTCTACTCAGAGTGAATTCTCTATACAGAGTGGATTCTCTCTGCTCGGAATCGTCGAATGAATATGAACATCGTCATTTCATATTCACTCTAATCGATTGAAACATTCGCTCATATGGAATCAGAATATTCACTCTAAGCTTGAGCGAAACATTCACTCTTGCGATTTTGAGTAGCAGTATTTTCACTATTGCTTCGAATGAAAATACTGCCACTTTTCACACGTTTGAAATGAGAATAATCCCCCTCCAAGAAATATAGAGAGTATTTGTAAATAGAAATAAAATTTACTCTCGATATCGATCGTACGGCCGTCGCAGCAGCAGCAGTAATAGCGGTAGTAGTCGTAATGCAGAAAACGATGAGGGAACGCTCACTCCCGCGCACTCCATAGTCATTGTGCGTGTTCAGGTGTGTTGTGAAATATCGATGGGCATTTTTCGACGTTCACCATCGACTCCATTCTGCTTCCCGCCGCCACCTATACACGATGCGGCATGGTGACAGGAATTTAAACCTGGGTTCCGCCACCTTTTACCGTAGATGCAACTTGTCTCCGGGCCATTCTCCCATTCTTCCGTTTGTCATACGAGAAACGCGGACAAGCCGCCAAAGACGCCGCCAAAGGAGGTCCCACCGCTGGTTGGACGGTGCGCCGGAAGAATTTCAACTCGCCGCGCGAGAAGTACGAAACTTTGTTTCCATGTGAATTCTCTCACTATCGAGGTGACGCGAGGTGGCTCGTCTCGACGCGCCCTGTCAACACGGCAGACACGTTCTCTACCCTTGAATGCGCTTCTCGTTGGAGCGCGTCGGAGTACCTTCTTCCGACGCGTCTGTATCGCGCCGAAGATATCAATGCGACTAATTATCAATTATCGTTATTGGCTCGTTCGGCCGGTCCTTTTTTCTCAAGGAGCGGGGGTGGCACACAGAGAGCGGCGGCCAGGTGTGTTCCTCGCGCGGCCGCCGCGGGGACGTTCGAAAGGCAGGGCGGCGGTGTTCGGCGAGTCAGCATTCCTTCGCGCGGCCTCTGACATCGGCGGTCCTCTCAGAGGGCTCTTCTCGTCTCCTTTCGATTCCCAGTATCCTCGTTCGACCCTCCTCGTCCAGCACCCACGGCCGGAAGAAAGGGAAAAAAGACCGGCCGAGCGGGAGGCAGAGAGGTGTCGGGTGTATGCGTGCGTGCGTGCCTGCGTGCGCGTGTGCGTGTGATCGTTTAGGCGCCCATATGTTGGACTTGTAATGAGAGAACGAACGTGCTCACCGCCGGGACAGGGAGGCGGGCACTCGATGAAACGCTTTATAGATTATCGCCCCGGCCACGCCATTGTTTTATCGCGCGCGGTCGCCCTGTTAGCGCGTCGGCGCCTGGAAATGTCAATTATGTCGAGGGAGTGTAATTAAGCCGCGTGTATTGGAACGCTCCGTGAGACTTTTCGCTCGAGATATTCTGCCGCTGAGAGTATAGAGAGAGGGAGAGACAGAGAGAGAGAGAGCCCGCTGTTCTCGTTCACGCTCTGACTTCTCCCCGTGCCCTCTCGCGCGACTAATTCGCCGCGACTATCGACTTTCTCACGAACACGAAGATCCGAGTCAGTGGATTTCTTCTTCTTCTCTTCTCCCTCGAGGGTGCGAAATCGCTTCTGATGAAATAATTCTACGTATTCGGTGTGATATTTTTATATTTCTGTTTATTTTTTTTATATCTTTATATCTTGGATTTTTCTCCAATACTTCGTGAACACTTGAGTTCATTTTATCACGGAAAAGATAACCTAATGAAGGTTATTAACTAAGATTTATGTAGCGGTATCTTTCATTTTTCTTTTTGTTCTCGATTTCCCACTCATATTCATGTTAATGGTGACATATGCCGACAGAAGCCGGCACATCGACAAACGACAAATGTTGCAGTGGTGAGATATTCGCTTCACTTCCAGGCGATCTTGTCGTCGGGACGCGCGCAAGCTCGTGCGCGCGCGCGCGCGCCTTGAGGCCAGGTTGCCTCGTTGATAGGCACAATCAATATCGGCCTCTCGACGATGAAAAGCGGTCGATCGGGCTCTGAATAGATCGCGTGAAAAGACGCGTGTAATCAATTATGGTGGGGGAGGGAGGAGAGAAGGGGTGGCCCCGCGGTGTCGAGAGCAAATATCTCATTCGTAGCAACGTCATCCAGAAATGTGCCGGTCAGCATCCCCGCTGAGTGCGTTCGTACACGCGCGTACACGCGTCCTGTCGCCTTCGTCGTCGCTCGTACATACGCGGCTCTTCGTAATGTCATTTTATATATACTATGTACGATTAACACATTGGTCATCGAGAGGTTATCGGGAATATCGATAGAAATCACTCGCGTCGTTACGACCCAGCCTCTCTCCTTTTT